CCCCAAAACCCCAAAACCCCAAAACCCCAAAACCCCAAAGTGAGCAGTTTGATAGAATGGTGCTTGATCTTCTAAAAATTTTACTATTTTGGAGTTTTGATTAGATATCTGAATGCTGACTTGGCAGGATATTGTTCAGGACTTTCATGTTCTGCTCAATTGTGTTCATATGGAAGAACTTTCCTCTTTCTAGAGGGTTAGAAGGACCTTACTGATAGGATATCTGTCTTTGTGCTTTTGAAGGGATTTTAATCTCTCATATTGAATTGATCTCTGAATTTCATCAATGTTTCCAATAGAAACACCTAAGATTATTAGAGAGGATTAAGATCTTACTATAGTTCTCAGGCTTAAAAGTTCTTGTTCTCACAAATGAATGGTGAACTTTCCTTTTAGGATTCTGGCTAGTAGAATCCTCTTCATCTATTTTCTCCACGAAATAGTCTTCTTTATATCTATTCATATTCTTGATCAATGATTGGCCTAAGAATTATGCAAAAGAACTTACTTTTTAGGTATTTCTGCTTACGACTAGCAATCTGAGAGTTTTGAGGTTTCACTTGAGGAGGATCTAATGAATAATTTGCCCAATTCTTAATTTCATTCATAAGATTGGAGTCTTCAGGCAAGCTATCGCTACTATTTTGGTGTAGCTTGTTAAACAGCTTTTCAATCTGATCATTAGGCTGTGCAGCTAACTTGTACCTAGACTCGATCATTTCCTGCTTCTTTTGGATACTCCTCTGTAGGATCTTGTTCAATCTTTGCTGCTTTATCATTTTCTTTTGCATTTCTTCGTAGGTCTTCCCTTCCGAGCTGAGCTGGAGGCAGACAAGGTTAAAAGCAGCTGAATCTTTGGAATTGTTTATACTGAGGTTGATACTCTTGCTTTTTCTTGGACTCTTTCTCTTGATTTTTACCTTTGTCTGATATATGTGGTCTGAGAAAGAATCTTCATCCTGAGACAAACTCTCTTGAGCAGGGTATTGTATATTGGTAATAGGGGTGACAATCGGGTTCATTTTCTTACTCACATCACATAGTTTCTGCTTAAACCCTTTTCTAGTCTGCACTGGAGAGTAGAGTGTATGAACATGACTCTCATTATCTATTGGAGTGATGTTTTCATTGATCTGGCTTAGCTAAAATGAATAAGTCTTCACAATCTTAAACAAGATAGAAGTTATAGCTAAGTTACATACCTTTGGGCTCCTTTGTGGAACATTTTTCTAAGGATTACTACTAATTATGTCTTACCTTGTGATTAATAATCTCTTCTTTCTTCTAAATGTAAAGAAAATTCTTACCTCTACTTTGGACGGCTTAATTTCTTTCTTTGTAACAACTGCTTTAGGCTTATCCTTCTGAAGCTTGGACGATGGACTTATTGGCTTAAATCTGGATTTGAAAGAGGTTCCTTTAAGCTCGATATTAAGTTTCTAGAAATTAGATGTAACTAACCCTTTCTTGCTGAGACTTGTCATTAATCTTGCTCAATCTTATCTCTGATTCAAATTTCGGATTCATATGATTATTCTGGAGTCCTATTTTCCCCTATGAAATAATTGAGGGATCCACATACAAGTTTAGAGAGGTCAAAGTAGTTATCATAGGAGTCTTCTCCGAAATATTTGTCTTGAATTGTTTTATACATGACACCATCATCTTTCCTTGACTTATAAGATGAACGGTACTTTATAGAAGGACTTTCAGTTCTAAACATTTAGGTAAGTTACTTACTCTCCTTCGAGGAGAGTTCTCATTTTTATTGGTTTCAGAGCTTCTTTGTTCTTATTTAAGAAACCTTTAGAGCTATTTGTAGGAGCATTAAAGCTACCTCTACTGTGAAGAGGAGATAGTTTTACATTTTTCATCATCTTTTTCTGAGACAAAGGAGAGCAGTCCATTTCAAAAGACTTAATGGGAAGGTTAGAAACATGCTTCTTCATCCTTGGGCTATAATCTTTGCTTTTCTCATTATTCTTAATAGAGTCTATGATATTAAAAGTATAGTACCTCTTTCGCTGCTCTTCTGCTTATCAGAGCCTATTAAGTTACCTTCTGTAAACTTACTCACGAACAAATCTTTGTTGGGAAGAATTTGGTTCTTCGGACTCGGCCCTCAAGCTTCATTAATTCCTCCATTATCAAGGATTGACTTCTCTTCTTTCTTCTAGAGAGTTGTAAAGAGAGTACTTTTATATGTTTGACCTCGACTTCATCGTCAACTTCAAATTCTTTCTCTTCTTTTTGACTTGTTGAAGAGGATCTCTCAACTTCTTGAAGTTTAAGAATGGGTGCTTCTAGGTAGAGAGATATATTATTCTTTTCTTTGTTGAGATCTATACCGAATTTATTAAAATCTTTACCCATATCTTTCATCTTCTGAGCAGGAGGGTTCTGAAATTGAGGTTTCAATTGAGAAATAGACTTAAACAGCACAGGAATTTGGTTAATAGCCGACTCAGTTATTTTATTTGTAATCAAGGTTGACCTATAGGTTAATTCAGTCAGAATACAGGTCTTTTCTCATGACTTTTATTTAGTGCCTCCTTGCTGTTACTTTTGCTCATTATCTATACTAGCGAAACTACCGTACCTTAATCTGGGTGCCATGGAGAGACTGGTGTTGGATTTCTTTATTCAAGCTAAAAACGGTTAAATCTTTCTTACTGTTGCTTATTATACAGATACATCTTGTTATGGCTGTTCCTGACCAAGTACTCTCTTCTCTTTCTCTCAATGATTTCTGCTCTTCCTTCATTACGCTTAGCCTGCTTCGGGTTGTGACTCAGGTTCTCTTTCAAGCTGAGGGAAGACCTGTGCTGAGATTTGTGTTTGCTAGAAATCGTGAAGGAATTTCGGGCTTAAGCCATACTTTGAAGAAACGAGAAGGTCATAGCGGAGATTACAGTTGGAAAGAAGGTTAAGAAGAGGAGATTTTAGTTTATAAATACCGAGAATTGAGAATTCCTTGAGCAAAAAGTTTAGTAGATTTATTTGCCTTGTTTAATTTTATTTAAGATTATAACATCTTATTAAAATTTGAGTTCAGAAATTTGAGTACTTTTAGGGAAGAATTTTTAGGTAAGAAGTGTTATTCAAATTGGAAAATACCATTTTGAGATTTTAAATATTCAGAATAATGATGCAATAATCCTACCTTGTTTTGATATTCTTCACTTTTGGCATCATACTCTTAATTGATTTAATTTTGAAGCTTCTATAAACAATCGAATTGGTAAAAATAATATTCTAAAAATGGCAACTCTTTTGTTAGTCCTTTCTATTTAATTTAAGGATATAACAGTGCTCTATTTCTTACTCCATTTCAGCAGAATAATAATATAAATTTCAACTACCATGGCTAAACTTGGGGTTTTGGGGTTTTGGGGTTTTGGGGTTTTGGGG